GAGACTCTGCTCCTTTGGGGGGGGGGGGAAACCCCTGTGGGTTGTTCTTGCGTGTTTTGCACTCGTCTTGGGAAAGAACCTTGAGAGCGTGAACAGGAAGAATATTAATTATCAATTAACCATCCGCCTCTTTTCTCCTCCCTCCGTTGCGTCGACGGCGAAATATAATCGGTTGCCTTGACATGGCTTGCTTGCTTTCCTTTCTTTTTAACCTCCTCCCTCGCTCATAAACACACCCTGCATGAATAGGCAAGGGAAGGTGTGTAAAGAGTTGACCTGGAAGAACAAGGCCGTCTGGGAAGGGAGCAGGTGATAGGCAGCAGGGGAGGAGGGAGGAAGAGAAGGAAGCTGAAGACAAGAAGATGATGGAAAAACAAGGGACAGTGCTACCCTGGCAACATTTGATACCTGATTTGAGAGGCTGTTGTGTAAGGAAAATGCATAACATCAGAAAAGGAGGCAATGGTGGAAGAAGGCATTCTATTGTAGCATACAGAGATGGTTTTAAAAAAAATGTATTGTTTGGGAGGATTAGTGTTTCTTGTCTTACCTATTTATTTATGTCACTATGGAAGGAAATACAAAACTAATATTTTTTAAATATGGATTTAAATCTATCTTGCACTTCTAAAGGAAATCATATCTACATATCTCTACTTAAGGCTTCTGGCCCAAATAAGGTATTTATTGAAATGTTTTATAGATATCTGTATAAATGTGGATATTTATCTTTATCATTTCCTTTCTTTGTGTTATACTTTTGAGACATATAAAATAGCTAATGCGCACTGAGTTTCACTTCTTATATAAAAATAGTGGAACCCAGTGAGTTGACCAGTTTATATAAGATTATTTAAGCCTAGATTATATTAGACCTAGACCAGAAAATTGATGTTTTTGTTTCTTACATGTTATTAAATACTTTTATAATTGGAAAAAAATAATTTGTTCTTTACCAAATTACATTACTTTATGCACATTTCTAATCTAAATATAATTGTAAAATATTTTAAATTCATTCCTTTTTATCTTCCATATTGTCAAAGGTATTGAGATTCAGTGTCTTAGCTTTAAATTTCTCAGAATAAATATAACTTTTTTTAAAGTATCCAGATTCTTTTTTAATGGCATCCCATTTCAAAAGTAAAATTTAATAGAAAATGATTAGATATTATAGGGTTAAAGGAGTTAAAGTATTCTTGCTTTAAATACTGGGACAAATACTAAATAATAGGGTGGATCCAGCATACCTCAACAGCATATTAGTTTACATCATACACACACACACACACACACACACAGTTAACAAAGTATTAAGGTACAGTATTGATGGCATTAACTTGTCAGTTAAAATTGGTTCCTGTGAGAGCCTTTGCATTCCTTTATGGTTAATAGTTGATTTGGAAAGGCAGAAATTATCTACCATTTGGTTGTCAGTTCTGAATCTGGTTGCTGTATCACTTTGATCTTTATTACATATAATAGTACAATTTTTTTCACTATACTTTTAGATTTTCATTACTAACATTTGCAGATTAGCACTGTAAGATTAATAATTTTCTACTAGATCTTACTTAGATTTGCAGCTGAGAGTATTATCAGCATAATGTAGGTAATTGAAAGTTTTTCATCCCGTTTTAACAAAAAACTCATCTAATTCCAATTTATCCTTTCTCAATATATATTCACTATATAGGTTAATAAATAAGAGAAAGTACACAGCCTTTTCCTCATCCCTTTGCTGACCTAAAATATTTAGCCATATTCTCCCCAGACCATGACCTCTTGTCCCATGCATAGGTTTTATGTGAGGACAGAGATATTATGAGGTTCTCATTTTCTTAAAGGCATTCACAGCTTGACACAGCTTGAAAGAAGTGAAGGCCTTCTATGGTCAATTAAACACTTATTAGATTTTTAGGCTTTCTCAAATATCCAGCATACATTAGCAGTAATGTCTTTGATTTTCAGACTTTTATAAAACATGCTGAATATCTGGCATCTCTCTGCAGAGCTCTAATCTTCATTGGATGGTCCTAAGAATTATTTTGCTAGCATTAAAGATATTATGCAGTTGTTCGAACATTCTGTAAAGTATTCTTTCTTTGATTAGTTTGACAGATCTCTTTCAATCTGTTGGATATTCTTGTAAATGGAATATCTTCTAAAGTATCATGGATATATGTACAAATTTTCAGTACGCTCCTTCCATCTGTAATCTTATTTGAGACAATTATTATCTGCCCATTAATATTTTTGGCATCGTAATTGAAGATTGGGACTTCTTCCTGATTTGGAGTCTTTCCTTGTTTTTCGTGTTGTTTCCATCTTTGGTAGTTTTGCAAATTTAATATTGCTTTTGTCACTTCTACTAGCTCTGTTAAAAATTTGCAAAAGGCGGGGTGGGTGATTTCTCTCCTTTCCCATACCATTCTTTCTCCTCTTTGGAGAGATTGGAGAGAGAGGGATTTCATGAAAATAAGCTTTTTTTGTAGTGTGACTGGTTTACAACCCCAAGCTGTGGTGCAATTGCATTGTTCTTTATGTACATATGACAAGAAGCAGACATAAGCATCCTAAAGAATTGTCTTATTTCCAGATTGTTAAGAAGGAATACCACTATGATTCTTCCTTAAAATTGGATAATAAAGTAAGGAATAATAAATGTAGTAAAGCATTTGTGTATATTTTGCTGTTGGGCAATCCTTATTTGTACTGAGATCAAAAAGGAAAAATTCTTCCTCCAGTTGGTAGGATGAATCATCTTGATTTTCATTAGATTCTTATCATTAGTATAATATCCTAATTTTCAACAATAGATATTTTGTGCTCTTTTGCTTTTGCCTGTTTTTGTTCCAATGCCAGCCTTGTTAGTTAACTAAATAAAAGCAAGTAATGGAAGCAAGATTAATCCAAGAAGTACTTAAAGTTACAGCTAAAAACACTTGTAGTTCTGACCCACCTTCAGCCCCAAAGTTTTACTGAGTGGCTCTGGGCCACTCATTCTCACTCTAGACCAGGGGTCACCAACCTTTCAGACCTCAGGGACCACCAAATTCATAATTTGAAATCCTGCAGACCACTAATATGAATCCAGTATGCCACTCGCTGAAGCACCTGGACTCACAGTGACGGGATGGGGTCCTTCAGGCACTTAGCTTCGCCGCCTGTTTCTGCAACCTTAAACACTCAAAGAGCCATTTGGACCCATTTCCCACAGAAAACAAAACATCTCTCATCTCTCTCTCTTTTTCTCTCTCTCTCTTCTCTCATCTCTCACCTCTCTTTTCTTTCATCTCTCTCTCATCTCATTTTATCTCTCTCTCTCTCTTTTCTCACTCTCATCTCTTTTCTCTCATCTCTCTCTCTCTCTTCTATCTCTATCTCATCTCATGGTCCAGCCAGTGTCTTGGGGCAGAGAGGAAGTCACGTGTCTCCCAGTCGCACAACACCAACAAGGGCTGGAAGAAATGCCCGCGAGATCTAGCAACAGATGAAGTTTCGCTCCCCCTCTGGAATATGGAACAAATCTCCATCCTCCACCCTTCCCTTCTCAGGCCAGGCTAGGAGTGAGTGGGAGGGGAGGGCGAGGACCAGGCCAGCCAGTGGTGGGTTCAGCCGACAGGAAGCCACAGTAGGGGTACAAAAGAGCCACAGATTCCCGACCCCCATTGCTTCGGCCTGCCTGTGCCACACACACCTCCCTTGCCACAACAGCACCATTATCTCATTCCAGCTAGCAAGGGCTGTGCCACTCCTTGCACATTGCACCTCCTGCAAAGTTGCAAGCTTCATGTACTTCCCTCTATGGCAGAGATTTCCAGCCCCACCATGAGTTGCCTGGCCGGTCCC